ATGAGTGAGAATAATAACTTGATAAAAAATAAAGTAACAATCAGTCAAAATCTGTACATCAAAAGATACATGAGTGACATACAAAGAACACAAACACAAAGACTTTAAAAGACTCCTAAAACCATAATCCTTATGTTGAACCCATAATTTCTTCTATATGAATGCTTGCTAATTTAGGTTTAGCAAGTCCTTATTTATAGACTATTGCAGTATGGGCTTGGACTCTTCAAATCAAATCCAATCTTCACTTTTTAAATCAGATGAAATATCTTCACATAAAAATAGGAAAAAAATCTTTTAAAGTTTCCTAAAAAGTCTCCAAGGTCTTTTTAATGAAACCAAATCAAATCTGCACTTGTTCCAAATGAATTTCCTTTACATGTGAATAATAATGAGATAAATCCAAAAGGATCTCTAAAAAACAAATCAAATCTGTCAAAATATAAAACAACACCGTCTTCTGCATAACAGGCTAAGATGTCAAGACATCTAGCTCAAGATCTGTCTAATAAGCATGAAAACAGAACCTGCCATGATAGTTGTTCAAGATGTTATGACATCTTGTCCAACATCAGTCCATAACCATGTTTTAGCAAAATTTATGTCAATCCTAAAACCATGGATTTAACACTAGCCAAATAAAGAAAGCTTTCAGAAGAATTACTTCAGAAACAAGGTCAATAAGAGTCTAATGGCAACATGGGATGAACTTGACAAAGAGGAAGAACCTGGCAAAGATGAAGAAGAAGAAGTCAATTTGGCTCTGATGTATTCAATATCTTTTGATACAAAATCTAACTTAGGTTCTGGCTTATATTCTAAATAAGATAAGGTATTTTCTCAACTATCTCATTTATATTTCATTTCCTTTATTCAAGAAGTTATGAGTTGTTATCAGGATAAAACCACGCGGTTGACAAATTCAAAAAGGAATTATGATCTCTTGAAAGATGATATAGAATCTTCCAAAAAGAAGATTAATAAACTAGAAATAGATTGTATTGCCTTATTAAATGATATGTCTGACAAACCCATCAGTGAGTATGAAATGACTCTTCAGGAGTTTGTCATTTATAGCTTTAACAAGACTAAAGTTTCTTCTATGATCTATGGTATTAGCAAAAGCATGGGAGAGGGTCTTGGCTGCTCTGAATAGTCTGTTGATTCTGAATATGATATCTGGTCAAAATCTACAAAACTCCTCTCTCATAGCTCTGCTCATAAAGGACTTTCTTCATGCTATGTATCTGCTGATGACAAAGTAGAGGTTCTGAATTAGTTAGAACTAAAAACTATGGAATCAAAAGTTTTGGAAAAACCAAAACCATATATCTCAAAGTCTAAGGTTCCTTAGAAACTAGAACCCATGATTCTAAAGTCTAAGGTTCTGAAGGGTTCAAAATCAAAGGCTAAAAATGCTCCAAGACCAAAATATTTTAAACTAAAAGTCTTGAATGATTCTAAGCCTCACTACTCAAAGGCTAAGGTGCAAGGTCAGAATAGACCTTGTAGAACTAACCCCAAAGGACCCATCAGATTATGGGTACCTAAATCTAAAACTGTTTTTGCTGCAAATATGTTTAAAGGGATGAATAAATATGTAGTCCTGGTACTTGGACAATGACTGCTCATGACATATGACAAGAGAAAAACATATGTTCCAAATCCTCACCCTGAAAGAGGGAGGAAATATGAGATTTAGAGGAAACTAGAAAGGTAAGATCATTGGTATGAGTACTATTGGTAACTCATATATCTCTATTAATAATGTTTGGCTTGTAGATGGACTAAAATATAAACTACTTAATATAGGTTAATTTTGTGACAGTAGTTATGAAGTAGTGTTTAATTAGAACATATATATAATAATTAATGATTCTAACAAGTCCACAATGTTCACAGGTAAGAGAAAATGCAATATTTATAAAATCATTTTTTTTGAATTGGATGATTTGAATGTGCTCTGCCTTCTGTGAATGAGTTATGAAGAAGGGATCTGACACAAAAGGTTAGGTCATGCTAACTAGAGATTAATCCCTAAGCTTAACAAGTTGAAACTTGTTAATGATTTTCTAGACCTTAAATATCACTCAGATGCTCTTTGTGGAGCATCCTAAGTAGGGGAGATTGCTAAAAACCTCTTTTAAAAATAAGAATATTGTATCTACCTCCAGACCCTTAGAGCTGGTTCATATTGATTTGTTTGGTCCTGTTAGTACTGAGTCAATTAATGAGAAAAAAATATGGACTGGTCATAGTTGATGACTACAACAGACAAACTTCGGTTAAATTCCTTAGATCAAAAGGTGAATCATATGACGTGTTCAACAACTTCTGTGTACAAGTAAAAAATGAAAAAGATTAAAAAATCTTGAAGACTAAAAGTGATCATGGAGAAGAATTTGAAAATGAGCCATTTGAAACTTTTGTGAAAAACTTAGAATTTTCCATGAGTTATCTTCTCCTAGAACTCTACAACAAAATGGAGTTGTAGAGAGAAAGAACAAATACTTACAAGAAATGGCTAGAACCATGATCCATGAAAACAATTTTCCAAAGTACTTATGGGTATAAGTTGTCAACATAACATTTTATGTTCATAATAGAATCTATATTATACATATTACGAACAAAATATCATATGAACTTTTCAAAGGAAGAAGCCAACATTTCTTATTTTCATCAGTTTGGATATACTTGTTACATTCTGATCAACAAAGTCTATAATGAGAAATTTGATGCCAAGGCTCAAAGGGTATCTTTTTAGGATACTTTGGACGCTTTAAGGCATACAAGGTGTATAACTCTGAAACCAGAATGGCTGAAGAGTCTATACATGTTAGATTTGATGACAAAGAGTCTGACACTAAAATGTTAGAGCTTTTTGAGAATTTTGAAAATTTGCAGGTATTTGAATACTCCTATAACACTGGTTGTTCCATTGTCTCATAACTCAGTGTGATTAGCTGTTCAGAGTTGGCTCAACCTTTAGAAGTTGTATATTCATAAGTTGTTCAACCATCAGAAGGTGGCCATTCAAAAGCTGATCCAACTTTTAAAGCTCAAGAAGTAACTAAACAAGCCCGTGGTGACTCTCAATAAGTAACACAATCCAAGAGCTCCTTCAAGTATAAGTCTTCACGTCTACAAGAGTTAATCATTGGAAATATAACGATAGTCCTAGGAAGACAAGGTATGTATTTAGAGGAGAACACTCTATGCTAAGACTTATCTCCATGAATGAACCAATTTCTATTGATGAAGCACTATCAGATGATGGATGGATTGTGGCAATACAATAGAAGCTGAACCAATTTCAGATGAATGATATTTGAGATCTGATACCCAAACCTCATAAGAAGAATATTATTGGAACAAAATGGGACTCCAGAAACAAGCTTAACAAACAAGGAGAAGTGGTAAGAAATAAAGTTGGACTGGTAGCTTAAGGTTTCAATCAGCAAGACAATATATATTTATCTGAAACCTTTGTACATGTTGTAAGGTTAGAGGCAATCAGACTACTCTTTTCTTATGCTACTAATCATAATATTATCCTATATCAAAAGGATGTCAAGAGTGCATTTTTAAATGATGGAGTTTCTAAAGAAGTGTATGTCAAACAACCTCCTTGATTTGAGGATTCTATCCATCCATATTATGCTTTCAAGCTTAAGAAATCTCACTATGGACTCAAACAAGCTCCCATAGCTTGGTATGAGAGGCTATGTAATTTTCTTATAGAGAAAAACTTTAAAAAGGGGCAAGTTGACACTACACTATTAAGAAAGATACTAAAAAAATGAAATCTTAGTTGTTCATATGTATGTAGATGATATTATTTTTGGTTCTACTAATCTTACTCTTTGCAAGAAATTTTCAAAGACTATGCAGACTGAGTTTGAAATGAGTATGATGGAAGAATTAAAGTTCTTTCTTGGAACTCAAACCAACCAATGCAAAGATGGAGTTTATGTTCATCAAACCAAATATACAAAGGAACTGGAGAAGTTTAAGTTGGATGACTGCAAAATCATGACAAATCTAATGCATCCAACCTACAATCTAAGCAAAGAGGAAAGCAATACCAAAGTTGATCAAAAGTTGTACATATGTATGATTGATTCTTTACTTTACCTAATAGCTTCTAGACCATATATTTTATTTAGTGTTTATGTGCAAGATTTTAGCCAAATTCTAGAGAAATTCACTTAATTACTATTAAGAGAATCTTTAGGTATCCGAAGGAAACAACTAATCTAGAATTGTTTTATAAGTAATTCTCATACTATAAGTTGGTTAAATTTTATGATGCTAACTATGTTTGGATAAAATTGAAAGAAAATCTAAATTTTAAACCCAAAACAACAATTTAAAAAAAAAAGAGGAATGATATAATTTAGTAGAGAGGTGGTGTAGATAGCAAAACAAGGAGGCGATAGGTGTCAAATAATGTCCTAGGTCGTGAAGGATGATTCCGTAATCCTATTTTGAGGAATTAACATGCCATCCTCTTAAATGATATGAAAAGACCAAAATATTTTGATTCACATATTTTTTAGAAATTTAAAATTTCTCTGATCAATCCATCTAAATGGCGATATCGGAAATTTCAAAGCGACACCAGAAATTTAGTGAAACAGTAAGAAATTTTCGATATATTTGCAAAATATCCGATATTTTATAACGGAATTTTCAAACATTCCAGTATTTTCGTACTGAAAATTTTAAAATTTCAGATATAAATATTTTCGTTTTGTATCGGAAATTTCAAAATTTCAGAGACTTTACAAAATACCAAAATTTTTGAAATTTTCAGTAGTTCAATTTTAAAATTTGAAAGTTCAAATTATCACATAAGTTTAAAATTTTCAATTTATCGAAAATTTCATATAGTGTTCGAAATTTATTCTTACCATAAATTTGATAAGGATGTATTGGACATTTCATATGTATAAGAAATTTCAACTATACCAAAAATTTCGTCTTAAAATTTCTTTATATCTGCAAAATTGAAAGAAAAAAAATTGGAGGGTGACATAATTTCTCTCCCATTTTGCATCGAAAAGGCATTTTCTTCCTGGTTGCTGTTAATCAACTACTCGTATACTCATCCTATACTCAACAACAACAACAACGCAAAGATTCATTCATGTAACACACGTTCCATTCCGTCATACTTCAAATTTCCTCCAAATTTCCTCCAAATTCTTTATATTTTCCTACCATCCGACTCATCATCATCATCAGTTTCAACTTCAACCTCTCTCAATAATTAATTAATTAATAATCGAAATCAAAGTGTTCTCGGTTCGTTTCGATAACACTCTTTCTCTCTCATCGCGATCTTTCGAAAACCCTACTCTCTCTCTCTCTCTGAAGCTGCTCGTGTGGATCGAGCAGTTTCAATTTCGATTCATGATGAATTGTAGTGTCCTCAATTTCGCCTCTTGATTCTCATAACCATGTGGTTTTCCTTCTGGAGATCCAAAGATCGTTTTTCCTTGGATCAACTTAGGTAAATTTTCGTTCACAATTTTCCTCAATGCCGAATAATCGATAATTTTTTCAATAATCTGCGTTTGTCTCTTATTCATAGTCTGTTAATTTTGTTTTGCATTCTTGTAATTTAAAGTTTAATTTGTATAATAAAATAAATAGTGAAATAGTGAAAAAATGGTAGATATACGTGCTTAACGATGATATAGCTGGTAAAATATGAACTGATTACCGCGGAACTCATATGTTTCGGACACCTCTAAGAGTTGTGCTTTGGTAAAATAGGCACTATGAGTCTTATTTGTGATGCTATTTGTAGAGCTGACAACTCTGGAAAAAAAGGCGTGTCTCCGTATCTGTGTCAGTGTTTGAAACTGACAATGACACTTGTAATTACATTTAATTTAATCATTTTTTCAAATTATGGTTGTTGATGTTAGGGTCGGTTGCTGGTATCCGGTATCCGGTATTCGTGTTTCATAGGTGATAATCAACCAGCCTTACATATTGTCTCTAATTCCGTCTTTCATGAGCTAAACATAATTGCGTCTGGCATTTGTTTGTTCTCCTAATGATCAATTGGGTGACATTTTCACAATTTGAGGACAAAGGATAACTTGCATTTATGAAAAGCTTGATGCCTAGGATCTGTATGCTTTAGCTTGAGGGAGAGTGTTGAGATATATGCTCATTAAATCTTTGTTGTTAAGATATACTCTTCCTCGTATATAATTATAATTTTATTAGGATTTATATTATGATTGATGTAGCTCCGATCAATTCCCTTAGGTTTGGGATCAATTCCCTTAGGTTTGAATTGATGGAATGGGACGGAATGGAGCGAAATGGAATGGAATAATGTTATGTTTTATTGTTTGGATTAGTAAAAAGAGGATGAAATTGAGCAGAACATGATGGAATGCATTCCATCAAATTCCATTACTTACCTTCATTTTTGTTCCTTCCGATTTGGGCGGAATAACATTTTTTATTACATTCCATCCTAAAATATCCAAACAATGGAGTGGGATATCCATTCCGCTCCGTTTTGTTCCATTCCACTCCGTTCCATTCTGCTCTGCACTGTTTGTTTTGAAATATCCAACTGAGAGCTCCCTGTACAATTTTCATTTTAAATAGTATCTAACTGAGAGCTGATCTCTGAAGCTATTCAGTACCAAAACTTTATTCTTAAGATAGTGAGTAATTGGGTAAAGTTCTTTGATGTTCTGTTTTGTTTATTCACTGTTGCGCTGCTACCTTGTGTTGTTTAGGTACTTAGCTGATCAGTTAACAAAAGTTCAAATAGTTAATGAGGTTAATAAGGTAATAAAAACTCTAGCTATGATTAGAATTTTCTGACCTTTTTCTCGAGGTTTCCTCAACTTCTCTATTGCATTATTTGTGAAGGATTTTGTTATTGAGGCACTGAGATCAATTGCGGAGTTGATAACATATGGTGACCAACACGACCCAAGCTTTTTTGAGTGAGATTCAGTTATGCTTATATTCCTTGGTATAATTGTTTTTATTCTGGCAATTTATATATCCTACCTTGTGGCAGATTTTTCATGGAAAATCAAGTTGTGGGGGATTTTGTACGTGTTCTAAAACTTAGCAGGACTATTAGTATTCCACTTCAGTTGCTACAAACTGTTAGCATTATGATCCAAAACCTTCAAAGTGAACATGCTATATGTAAGTTGTTTGTCAAATGGAGTTCCATTTTCTGCAGTTACAATATATTTTCTACACTAGATGTAATGTAACAATGTTGATGGGCTTGATTTTCTTCTTTATTGTTACTTTTGCAGACTATATGCTTAGTAATGAACATATGAACTTCCTAATTACATACTCATTTGATTTCCGCAATGAAGAGCTATTGTCATATTACATATCATTTTTAAGGTTGGTTTTAATGTATCCTTATACTACCAGTGTACAGCAGTTGATGGTTACTCTGCACAACCTCTGTTTTTTGCTTCCCTCTGTATAACTTTGCTAACTTCTCCTTTTATATCTTATGGTCATCATTGAAGAGCGATAGGTGGGAAATTAAACAAGAATACTATTTCTTTGCTGGTGAAGACTCGCAACGTAAGTTTTCTGCTTTCTGAGTCTTCTTGCTCTGATAATGATTTAGGTTATTAGCTTAAAAGTAATTTGTAAGATGTTCTTCTGAGCATTTGGACTTGGTTATAGACTTATAGCTGGTCTCATGTTTATGGCTTAAAAAAGGTAGGGAAGATACTTAGTTTTGATTATTTTTACCTGTATTCCTGCGGCTACAGAAGGTGATTAATATGGGTTTTACTGTACTTTGAGAAGATTTTGAAATTTTATTGCATTAGGAAAAAAAGAAGAAATGAAAGAAAGGAAGAAAAAATTAAAAGTTCTTTTTCTCACTAAAAAGTTAACAGTTTAAATTCAACTAAACTCTGATATTTTTTGCAGTCTTGAAAAATTGTTAGTCCTGTAAGCCAGGCAGTCCAATCTTGTGAGATTTTGTAATTTTATGGATCAATTTATAATTGGGCATCCCAGTCTTTCAAGGATAATTAATTTTAAATAATGTTTTTACTGGGTTGAAGATGTCAGATAAATCTGCCTTTGTTTTTGAGATGCCAAAATGTATTTATCATACTTATCTTTGCATTTAGGATGAAGTAGTTTCATTTCCACTATATGTTGAGGCGATACGCTTTGCCTTTCATGAGGAGAACATGATTCGCGCTGCTGTGCGTGCTGTGACCCTTAATGTTTACCATGGTGAGTTTTTTGCTGTTTTTTAGAGGCTGCTTTATATACTTCTTCAATTTCTTTCTTAACTCAGTTGTCTTATGATTAATAATATTTTTTGTAATATTTTTGTCTACAATTTTCAGTTGGAGATCACTCTGTTAATAGATATATAACTAGTGCACCTCACACAGATTACTTCTCAAATCTGGTTTCTTTTTTTAAGAAGCAGTGTATGGATTTAAACAAACTGATCTCTGATACGCAGAAGTAAGACATACATATTTCTTATTTTTCATATTACATTCAGATTTCCTTGTTCCTTAAAAGAGAAATTATGGTTGTTGAGACAGAAATCCAGGCCCAGACTCAAAGGCTACCATTACTGCTGCTGTAGATGAAATTGAGGATAATCTATATTACTTTAGTGATGTGATCTCTGCGGGAATTCCTGATGTTGAAAGGTTAATAACAGACAGCATTCTGACGCTTCTGATTTTTCCAGTACTTCTTCCTTCTCTAAGGATAGTGGCTGCTAATGTATGAAACTTACTTTACGGGTTTCTCTGTTTACTTCTGATTTATGCTATTCAGCATGATCTTATTAATGTTTAGTAGCATGTTGACCAGGATATACAAAGTGATGTTGTCACTTCTCTCTACTTACTTTGTTGCATCTTGAGGATAGTCAAGATCAAAGATTTGGCAAATACAATAGTTGCTGCACTTTATTACCCCTTAGAGTCCCTTACAAAATGTTTTGGGGGTCAAGTCAATGGAATGGTACCTGATAATGGTTTTACTTCTGAAGGCGACGGGATAGATAATAATAATAATAATAATCTTACCAAGAATAATAAAAAAGGCTTGGTAGTCAATGTTCCATGCTCACCTAGTTCTTCAGGTTTTCATCCACAGAGTATCACCATGCTAAATAATGGTAGCAGTTCGAATGTGGCTTTGAGGTATTAGTCAATCTTTTGGCGCGCTGATTTAAATTTAATTTTCTGTTGATATTCTTATGTTAGATTTGGATAATGATCTTCGTTTTATTTTTATTTTTTTGGTCACAAAGATCTTCATATTGCCGCACTTTTGGAACTGTGACACATTAGTAAATATATAACTGCGGTTGTCACAGTTGACAGACCCGCGGCGTTTAATTATGATTGCTAGGTAGTCAATAGTGGCCTCAAGTGGTGCTATCACGGAGGCGAGCGGAATGTGGAGTGAATTAGGGTTGCAGCCGCTTAGGGGGGTTTTGCGGGGCGTGGGTGTGGGACGGTTTGAGTTCTGGATCAGATTCTGGGCCGCTTTCCCTTTTTTGTCTAAGAATTGAAATTACCCCCCTTGAAATTAAAATGTATTAAGGGTAATTTGGGGTTTCCCTCTAAATTTGAGTGATATTCTACAAACTGTTTATCTGTAGCAGTTTTTCCTCTACTATGCTGTTCAAGCTTCATCTTCATCAGGTTCGTTTCCTCATCTTCCCTCAGCAATTCTTCATCTTCCCTCTAGTTCGTTTCTTTCCCTTCATTTCTTTACCCTCTGATTTTCCCTCATTTCATTTCCTTATGTCTTTTCCCTCTGGTTTTTTTCTCATTTTCTTTCCTTCTTTCTTTTTCCCTATGTTTTTTTCTCATTTCCTTCTAATGTTGGCTGGCGAAACTGTTGGGGTATCAATTTGAGGTAAAATATAAGCCAGGACTGGTAAATAAAGCTGCTGTTGATTTGACAAGGTGTCACAGGAAGGGGAACAGCGTTGATATCTTTCCTGAATTAGCTGGATTCAATTGATTCAGGAGGCTCAGAGCCATGTGATAGAAACTTACCAATAGGAAGTATTTGTGAATAACAACTGAATATTGTTGATTAGTTTCTGGAGAAAGGTTCCCAATCAGAGATGACAACATACATTTACACACGTTCCTACCAAGATTTAAGAGCTTGGCCTCCCCCCTTCCCAAATGTTCGAGAGTTTTGGTCTCTCCCTTTCCAAATTCCACTCTGAATTTCTAAGATAAAAGCTGCCCCTGCT